ATAAGTGCATAATTGAGTACTCTTTTATGATACATGGTATTAATTAACATATCAGTTGTCTAATATGATTTTGTTTTTATATTATAGAGACCTCTTAGCTCTATATGCAGTAGAATTTTGGTAACTGGTGATGCAACTGTAGATGAAATACAAAAACATAATATAGCATAAAGGTCAATAATTGTTGAAAATGATCCTAACCCTGAAGCATGACTTTTTTCGCCAAAACTAGAAATGTCCAAGATTTGATTGATTGCTCTAATATCTTCGCATGAGTCTGAACTAAAAAATATTTAAAAGAAAAAAAAGTAGCGGCGAGGAGGGGGAAATGGCGGAGTTCCTTTAGATTTCTATTACTTTTTAAAGAAAATCTAATACTCTATTTTTGAGCTTGATTCATATCATTATTATTTTTAACTAAAATATCACTAACTAATGTCTGATGTTCATTGAGAGAGTTGCATATACTGTTACATATTAATAAGATATACTTGTATACCATAGTAAAACATAAACTAATTTCTCAGATAGAGAACAAGTTCCTTACTGCAAAAAGGCCTTCATCATTTCGAAAGAATAATCAACTCTAGTTAGACTATATATGTTGTTAGTTCCATTTGGTGCTCAGTCATTCTTGTAATACTAAAACTTGAATGTTAAAACAGTTACGAACTTATTAACAAGAAATAAACAATTCTTTTTCATACATAACTTTTCAAGTGTTAATTTTTTAACATTAAAAATTATGTTATTTCTGGTTACTGTACGCCAATATTGAATGAAATATTCTTCTATGTCATTGTAAACTTCTATTATTTATGATTTGAATATTCATGAATAGAATTTGTCAACTTCGTTAATACAAATATTATTTTCACCATTTTTCTAATCAACGAGCAAAACAAAAAAAGCTTTTAATCTCATTGAAGCATAATAAATACATTTAACAAATCTTTGAACAAAGAAAATAGCTGATGGTCAAATGAATTTCATAGCATCATGTATTCTTTTCATATTCACACTTAGATGTCCTCTATACATTCATTAATCCATTCTTGCAAGTGAAAAAGAAAAAGAAAAAAAAACAATTGTGTCTTTGTGTCTTATTGCCACATAAAGCACATAAAAAGTTACATTCGATGAATATGAACGAGAATAAGAAACATGAAGTAAACTAAGCGAAGAAGAAAAAGAACAAGCGCATTGCACAAAGGCAAGTAACAAACTTCTTGTTTAATCATTCACATTAAAAGAAAGTCATACATATATATATATTATATGTGTGTGTGCGTTTGATGATGTAATATTTTGTTATAAAAAAAAAAAGATGATGAAGAACAACAATAGACGATCGACCAGATAATAACGAAAAAGAAAAAAAAAGAAGAATAGCCGCACAAAATGTTTTGTTAGTTGTTGTTTTTTATATCGCGTCTTTTAAACGGTGATCAAAATACACAAAAAAAAAAAAGAAAAGTAAAGAAGTATTAGATAAAGGAATGTTAATGAGTAAATATAGACTTTTCTATTTTGATTTTGTTTTTTCACTAATAATTGCATCTAAATCAAGATCAGCCTTGCACGTTGCTTGAATATGATTGCGAATACCTTGAAGAGCATTTTTTAAAGCATCTTTACTTGATGCACATAACATTTTACGTTTAATAGCTGCTGTATCTGGTGCCCTAGATTCAAAAACAAAAAATTAATTAAATTAAAAACAAAAAAAAAAAAAATTTTTACCATGAAATAAAGAAGATTTCTGTACGTGAACCTTCTTTTGTATCATAAAAAATATCAATTATTGCATATCGTACATCATTTGCAGGTAATGCATCTAGCATTTCAGCCCATTTTTTATCTAAATAATCGAATACAAAAAAAAAAAAAAAAATTTAATTGAAAATAATATTTATTTATTTTTTACTTTTTTCAGCTGCAGATGCATTTGGTGGTAGTTTATTAACACCTTCTTTTAATACAACGATTTTTGATATATCATCACTGAAACCAAGTACGAGATAACCAGTATGTTTTTTTATTTTAAAATCATGAAATTTTTCAATTACAGTATTATCAACTTTAACACCAGATGCCTTTCAACAATAGAAAAAAAAAGAGTATTAATAGTCAATATTATATTTAAATAATTATAAAATAAAAACGTTCTATTAAGAAGTCTTTCATGTATTTTCTTACCATTAGAAATGATCACAGAGATGAATAATCTATGTATACAGTTATATAGATATGTTTATTTTAGCCGTAGACGAAAAGAGAAAAAAAAACAAAGTGGAACTTTACAACTGATTATGACGATGATGTGTTATTTCGGATCGTCTCTACTGATTTTTCTTTCGTCGTTTCTCTCTTCTATCGATCTTTTCTTTCTCAGTGTGCACGCGAAAGCAATTCCATATAATGCATCATTGTTTGTGTGGATGAATCACGGCCACGGTAACTATAAGAGAATGCATTTATCTTGTCTCATGTTTCGAATACACGTAGAAGCTAACAACAATTATCATTCGTCATCAAGAACGGGGCGTAATCCGTATGCATACTGAATATACTATGCGTAGTCATTTTCTCTTATGTAAATAGACATTCTAGCAAATAGGAGAACAAAATAGAAAAGATCACTTACCGAACCAGCCATATTGCCGATAGTATTGACTAAATGTTAACAAAAAAATGTAGGTGTCGATGAACTCGAAGAACGATGAACGAACGTTGGTTACTGCGATCAAAAATAAACAAGTAAAACACCGAATAAGATAAGGCAACAGCCACGAACACACACACACACAAAAAAAAGCCGAACAAATGAAGAGAAATACATAACACAATCTACCTATTTTTATACCCACTTGTTTGTTGAATTATAGGGCTGATAGCAAGTAGAAAAACAAGACTCAAGAGAACAAGTATATTACTCATGATTTTTTTTCTCTCTTTTTTTTGTTCTTTCTATTGTGTTCGGTTTAATTTTCGATGCAAGAGAGAAGACCAGGCCATTTTTATAATGACCAAATAAGGAGATATGTGAATCAGACGAGAGAGAGCGAGAAGAAAAAAAACGAACGAATAAAACAATAACAACAGATGTTGTTTTAGTTATTTAACTTATTCATCAGAAGGTTTAATATGTTAATGTTAAATATGATCGTGTCGGATGATAAAATATTTTGTCTAGGACAAATTTCTAATAAAAAAAAAA